AAATTCTAGAAGGACAAAAACGAATAAGTGCGGCTGCAATTTTGAGATCAAAGTAAAAAAGGTGTCCGGCGTTCCATACTGGAGGATCTGTAGATGTAGCAATGAAGAGAAAGGCTACCATAACCATGCATTTGCTGTGTATCCTGAGGGTCATAGCCAGTTGAGCGGTCTCAGCGCTTCATCTAAGAGAATTGATCGTGACATGACGGACGCTCAGGTGGCCCCGAAAAAAATTATGGCCGCGCTGAAGGAAAAGAATTCGGGAGACAACGTTCATGTGCGCCAGGTATATATATTTATATCTTGTAATATATGTTTTAATTAAATTTTTTAAGTTAATTATGATAATTAGTAATTTTTTATATGTAAAAGTTATTGTAATAATTAATAAATTTTATTATATTTACTAATGTATTATTATTGTGATAGTTAATAATTTTTTTATCAAATTAATCGCATTAATATACTTTTTTATTTATTAATATAATAAAATTTTTGTTTTAAATTATAATAATCATTATAATTAACGCTAATCGGTGATAGGTATATAACTTTAGAGATAAGCTGCGGAGAGAGGGTTCCGACGGTAGAGACGTTCCTACTCAGCTTATGCATTTCGCCGTGAGCAGCGAGTATACAGTTTATGTAGAATCCGATCAGAACACGAAAGTGTTGACGCATATATTCATGGCCCATCCTGCGTCGATCAATCTATTCCGGACATATCACTGGTATGTCGGTATAGATTCCACGTATAAAACCAACAGGTATGTTACTTATAAATACTTTATTAGTATGAATCTTAAAAGTGTTGACGCATATATTTATGTGCTTATATTTTTTGTCTTCTTGGTCACATTTGCACAAGTACAAGATGCCGTTGGTCGAGATGATTGGGATGACGCCGTGCAACCAGAACTTCCTAATTGCGTATGCCCTCATCAGGGACGAGAAAGAGACCAGTTACGACTGGGTTCTAGAGAAGTTGAGACTACTAATAGGCCAAAGCGTATATCCTCATGTTGTTGTCAGTGACAGAGAGTTGGGTCTACTCACTCCTATTCAGAGGCATTTTCCTGAATCAGCCCACTTACTCTGCACGTGGCACATCAACAAGGATGTGGAAGCCAGAACCTACCACCTATTTGGGAAGAATAAAAAATTCTCGGAGATCTTCACGCACAGTACGTGGAAGGCGATTGCAGAGGCCAGTACGTTCGATGCCTACAACAATGCCGTTGCCGAGCTGCGTGCAAAATATTCGAACAATGCAGAGGTGATACGGTATGTGGAGGGCACATGGTTAGTGCACCGCGAGAAGTTTGTGAAGGCTTGGACCAACCGAGTGACACATTTTGGAAACACAACTTCCTGTAGGGTGGAGAGTGCCCACTCTGCGTTGAAGGAGTGGCTTCAGACGTCCACCGGCGCGCTCGATACGGTTTGGCAGAAGATTAATAAGCATATCGATAATCAAGTGACTGAAATCAAGTACGTACTGCAATTTTTAAATGCGTTATTATATTACTGCATTAATTAATTATAATCTAACGTTATGTAACGTATTATCAGGACGGCGCTTGAGGCATCGAGATCTAAGAAGAATACACGGTATAAGGGAATCCGTTTCGCGAGCGTGATACTGAGGGTCTCGCATTACTGTCTGAGTTTATTGGACGCTGAGCTTACGAGGATGCACAAGTTGGACACCGATGTTTACACTAGCTGCGGTTGTGTATTGCAGCTCACTCATGGACTTCCTTGTGCCTGTCTCCTCCGTAACGCAGACGATTTCGACGTTCCGATTGATCTCGGAATGATTCACCAGTTCTGGAGAACGCTCGAGATATTAGAGCCAGGTAATTTAAGATTAATGTTTTATTTATAATTTTCTATTAAAATATATTATTTGTTTTAATTCATTGACTTTTTTATCGTATACTTGTAGGGACTGGTCATCCGAGCCAGACGAGCAACGATGCATGGTCAGATGCGGCGTTCTTTCATACGCTTGTGACTGAGGTTGAAACCCGCGATCCCGCGACGATGCGTTACGTGAATAAGTTCATGTACAGTCATCTTTACCCAGACCAACAGGATTATGCGGAACCTGAGGTTAAGGATAACCCGCGAGGTCGTCCCAAGAAAACTAATTCAACTAAGCGTAAACCATCTGCTTTTGAGTACAACGAAAAATCGCGAGGTCGGAAATCGAGCCGTACGACCAATTCTTCGCGTGGACAGACAAGTTCGTCTTCTCAACAGTCACAAGGGGATGAAGGTCATACATTTTTTTTTTTAACTACGGCTGAGCGTTAATTAAAGTATTTATATGATTATATAAATTGTGACGTGAAATTATTATGATATTTATTGCAGAGTTTAGACCGACAAATATATTTGGATTTTCATTCTGGCAATGTATCCCCTGGCATATGTTGGACTACATAGTGAGTTACCTGAATGTGGATGCGGATGGTAACTGCGGATTTCGGGTCATCGCGAGTCACATGTATGGTCATCAGAAGTACTGGGCAGATGCAAGAGAAAACATTGCGAAGGAGGTCGACAACCACCCTGAATTGTACGAGTACATCTATTTTAGAGATATCGAGGCCGGACTCCGTCGCGTAAGGTGGGCCAGAGGCCCTTGTGGACCGACTCACTGGTTCGAAGTTCCGCAGGACCTCTATGCCGTTGCGACCCTATTTAATGTGGTTGTCGTTCATTTGAGCTCTGGTCCACAAGGTGGGCAGCACGACTTATTCAGCACCACAGTGTTGCCTCTCACTGCACGATCATCGGCTAGAGGACCATGTCGTGAGATTGCCATTTGCCATCTTGGTACCGTAGAACACTACATTCGTTTAGATTTGACTGATGATTGTCCATTACCGCCTATTCATAACATGTGGTTCCGTTACCGAGATCAATCGGTTGTGGGTTGGGAGCATCAGTACCAGTCTAGGTTGCAATTGTGGTATACTGTTCAAACAAATCGTTCTTGAATAAAAGAACGATATTATTCAGTTATGGTATGACGCTTCTCATTCAACTTAAGTTTAGCAAATAAAAATAAATAAATGAATCAGTTCAACTTAAGTTTAGCAAAAAAAAAAAATCATTCAACTTAATGTTTTACAATAATAATTAAAAAAAAAAACATTCATTACATTATTATTGGGCATTGTCGTAATCCAACTTAAACTTAGCCAGCTGTTCTTCGACTTCCGCCGCCACCGGACATTCGCATCCCTGCTGCCAAATCGATGTAATGCCCAAAAGACGGTCCACCCACTAAAAAAATAGAAGAATAAAAACATAAGACTAAAATTTATTAAAAAAAAAATTGTAATGAGTTAACATTAATTAAAATTTAGTAACCAACTTGACACGCGTTGGTACCTCGTCCTCGTCCGGCAGCTCCTCGCCCATGAGAGTCGGATGAGAAACCCGACTGTACCACTGCAGGTAATCCTCAGTCGCCTCCCCGTGATCCTGTGTGGTCTGGGTCAACATACTTGTGTTGACCGTCCTAGACATCGGGAACTGGGTCCAGAGGGATACTGCACCAGCCTCAGAATGCTCAACCTTGTAGTTCGTAGACTCCCAAGCACGTACTGCACTGATTGGCGGGAATATAGGGGGAGGGACAGTCTGGACATACCCCAGCTGACGCAGACACCGCGCAGGCAAGTACGGCTCGACGACATCGCGGTATCGAATCCATCCGCTATAAAGAGTCCTCGGCTCTATCGCATCTGGGCTGGAGCTGCCGTATGGCAACCATTGCACCTGTTCACAATTGCATAAGAGAATTTATAAAAATAATTATGTTATTTTAAATAACGGGTAACTAAATTTAAATAAAATAAATTCACGTACATCGGAGGCAGTGAGTCTGTCGAGGCCCCGACGGATGGCTGTGAGCCGATCGTCTGACCGTGGCGCATTCCCTACGCCCCACGAGCGTGATCGTGCGAGACAGTCAGGACCGATGGGTAGACGCCCTCGGGGTCGGAAATCGGGGAAATACTCATATATCCAAGACTGTAGAAGAGTCAAGCAGCCCGACATCTGGGCAGAGTCCCCTCGGCTGGCAATACCTAGCTGTCTGTACATGTATGCCAGCGTAGCCGATCCCCATGAGTAAACCCCAATCAAATCCAAGCCGTCGAGCACCTCGTGCAGGAGCTTGGGGGTCACTCTACTACCACTCTTGTCGACGAACAATGTGGTAGCCAGCATCAC